CCTGCCGTGGCAGTGACGGCTTGGGGTGGCAAGGGGGGGCCTGTGGGAGCAGCTGGCTCTGTGCCTGTGGCCCTGCAGGCTGTGGGTCAGACCTTACCTCCCTCCCTGAGGCTTTCTCCATGGCCCGGACCATCTGCAGGACAGAGTAGCCGGTGCCTGTGCCCAGATTGTAGATCTGGGAGGAGGAGAAGGGACGTGAGTCAGCTTCTTTCGCAAGCGGAGAAGGGCCAGGCCCCCTTTAGCTTCCCCAGGACTGCAAAAGCCTGGCCCTGGTCCAGCCCCACAGCCCTGGCAGGGCTGACTCCCTGAGGCTTTCTCCATGGCCCGGACCATCTGCAGGACAGAGTAGCCGGTGCCTGTGCCCAGATTGTAGATCTGGGAGGAGGAGAAGGGACGTGAGTCAGCTTCTTTCGCAAGCGGAGAAGGGCCAGGCCCCCTTTAGCTTCCCCAGGACTGCAAAAGCCTGGCCCTGGTCCAGCCCCACAGCCCTGGCAGGGCTGACCGCCCCCCAGCCTGAGCTTCTTCAAAGCAGTGATATGGCCCTTGGCTAAATCCACTACATGGATGTAATCCCTGACGCCTGTGGGGACACAGAGGGTGAGCGCAAAGCCCTCCTGCCTGGGGCGCAGCCGGGCTGGGGAGCTGTGGCGGCTGCCCCAGGGGTCGGGGTGTCTCTTCTCCACCCGCGCCGCGACGCACCCGTTCCATCGTCCGTCCTGTAGTCGTTCCCGAACACGCTCAGGAATTCCCGGCGCCCCACTGCCACCTGCACAGAGGGACAAGCCCACGAGAGCCCCATCAGCCTGTGCCCCGCACAGGCACCGCGAGCCCGTGGGTCCTCAAAGGCTGCAGCGGGGTGATACCTGTGCCACGTAGGGCATGAGGTTGTTTGGGATCCCCTGAGGATCTTCTCCGATCATGCCTGACTCGTGGGCACCGATGGGGTTGAAATAGCGCAGGAGAACGGCATTCCAGTCCTGGGGAGACACACAAATGTGGCTGCCTGGGGAGGGTGTAGTGCTGTGCAGTGCTGCCTGGTCACCCCACCATGCTCCAGGGGCAAAAGACCTCAGGTTCCCAGCCCTGAGTGCCTTGGGGCAGCTCCTCACCCTTTCTGCTTTGCAGAGATCTTGAATCATCTCCTCGATGAAGTACTTGGATTTGCCGTAGGGGTTGGTGCAGCCTCCAACAGGGTGGTTCTCATCCAGGGGCAGGTACTTGGGGTCTCCGTAGACAGTGGCAGAGCTGCTGAACACGATGTTCCTCACGCCGTGGGCTTTCATGGTCTGGGAAGCAGGGACCAGCCGCCACTGAGCCAGCAAGCTCCGCACCCTCCAGCTCAGCTGCACGGCTCAGCCCTCCGCAGGCAGCAGCTCCCACCATGCAGGCATCGTGACACCCCTGGGACAGGGCCTGGGCATGGGGAGCACCGCAGGTACCAGGCTGCCAGCCACCCCAGAGCAGGATCACACCCAGCACCAGTCACTCAGCACCCGTGTGGCCCCGAACACCACACGCTGCCTCCCGGCTCCGCTCACCTCCAGCAGCCGGATGGTCCCGGTGAGGTTCACCCTGTAGTACTCCAAGGGCTTCTGCACAGATTCCCCCACTGCCTTCAGCCCCGCGAAGTGCATCACGGCTGAGAAACGGTGCTGCAGAGGGAGAAAGAGCTTGGCGTTAGTGCCACAGCAATAGGAGATAGAAGCTCCAGGCAGAAACCAGTTAGAAGTCTCCCCAGGAGTTTCATTCAGCCAGCCCTGTGGTCTCCGTGGCCCAAAGGAACATTTGCTGGTCACAGCATTTCCTCAGCACTGTCCTCCCCGCTCAGCTCCTGCCCAGTCCACGTCTCCCTCCTGGCTCCCACCCCCAGCGCAAACCCCTCTTGCCCCTCGGAGCCCACCTTGGGGCACTGCAGCTCTTGCTCTCACCTTACTGAAGAGCTCCTGCAGCGCTGCCTCATCAGTGATATCCAGCTCCTGGAAGAGGATGGGCTGGCGCACGATCTGCTGCACACGCTGGAGGCTCTCGGGGAGTGCGTCTGCCCCTGGGGAGATGGAAGAGGATGAGGCGCTGGGATAGCTGGAGGTGCCGTGCTGGGGGGTCTGGTCTCCCAGGCTGAGAGAGGCCGACCACCTTGTATGGGAAGGGATGAAGGCTCTCCATACCTCGGATGGCATTGTGAAAGTTATCTATGACCACAGGGACATAGCCAGCCTCCACCAGCTCCAGCACACAATGACTGCCGATGTAGCCAGCTCCGCCGGTCACCAGGATCTTCTCAGCCATGGTTCCCTGGGGGAGGAAAGGCCCTTCAGTGCAGAACGCTGTGTGAGATCGTCTGGGGTGGGCATGATATCCAGGGGCCCTGGGAGGGAAGGACTTGGACACTGTCACGTCAGCGCTGCCTCTAGGCACTCCCTGCACTTGGCCCGGCCAGCGCCAGGACGACATCCGGAGAGGAATGGGCTGGCAGGTTGTAGCACACCCTGCCGACATGGTTCACACCTCCCGGACAGGGAGGGTTTATCTGACACTTGTCACATACCAGGGAAAAAAACTTGTTCTTCCTGTTAAATCCAGTCAAGATCCTGGTGTCACCCATATCCTACAGCACAAATCCCTCAGGCTAATTCACCCCTAAGCACAAGGGCACGAAGTCATCTAATGGTATTGACTTGGGTGGTTTCCTCAAGGGGCATCAGCTCTGCCCTCTTCCCCCCATTCCCTGTTTTTTCTCCAGCTCCGAAATCCCCTCTCTACAACAGTCCCAGCACTCCCTCCAGCCTCCCTTCCCTCGCCCAGCGCTGGCCCGGTTCCACCCCTGCTTCCCAGGAAGCTGGGCATTGGGTCACTGCAGACTACAGGGACATTTGCTGGCATAGACAAAGTGGAAACCTGGAAGCTAACCTGTGAGAAAGCCCCCGTCCCTGGGAACTGAGCAGCAGCTCTTGCCCAGTGGCTAGGAGAATCCACTTTATTATCAAGGCATGTGGAGGCAGCACAGGGAAAGTTTGCACCTGAGCTGCATCTCAGGCTGAAAACCAAACTGAAACCCCTAAACTGCCCTGCCCTGATGTGTCTGCGGCCAGCCCCAGGGCTGCTCTAGCAGCCAGCGAGGGCAGCTCCAAGGGAGGCCAGAGCCTGAGCCAGGCAGGCGAGGGCTGGAAAGCCAAAATAACGCTGCTTTTAGCCAGGCAGGTGAGCAGGCAGCGGGACAGGGCAGGGGCCTGCGGGACAGGGTGTGTACGTGGGTCAGGGCGTGGACATGGCACAGCCACGGGACAGGGTTACCTGTGAGGCCGCAGTTACCTGCAGGGCCGTGGGTCTGGGCTTGGGGCTGGGAGTTACCTAAGGGGCCGGGACCGGGGCTCCCTGAAGGGCTGGGGGGCCCCCGAGGGGCTCAATGTACCTCAGGGGCTGGATTTACCTCAGGGGCCCGGGGTTACC